TTTTTTTTTCCTGTTTCACTGCTCTGGATTATTCTCTCATACTGTGAACTAATGTGATCAAAGGTTTCATGCAGGGTTCAGCTTATTTCATGTTCCAGCTTGTCGACTAATGACACAAGAAGTAAAAATAGTGTGTGTCATAAGAGTGCTTTCTATTTCCAGAGTGTAGTTGTAGTTTGGTGAGGACTTAACAGGTCCAGTATGAGAACACAGATGGCCAAAGATGGTGGGCACTAACCGCGCTGCAAGACTTGCCATCAGATTGGCATCCATGTTATTTCAGAAATGCAAAATAATCACTTGTCAGATCTTTAATGACATTCTTTTAACTGATTCGTGCAGAGTTCAGATTAATACTAAATAATTGCATGGGAATAGCTGATGACTCTGCAAGGTCTGCAATTAATAACTAAAGAAGGTGCAAACAAAAAGCAATGTGGACAAAAGAGATGAGTGCTTCTCAGTGCAGCACCATGAGGCGGCCGGCAGAGAACAGCTCTCTGTTCTCTCCCTTCCCAGTGCTTCTTGGCAGGCTGAGGCGGCAGGAATGTGAGGCTGCTCTGTGCTGCTCTTTGCTGGGCTGCAGGGTTGTGAGTGCCTGGTCCCTCATTGCCGCCGCCGCCGACTGTTTTAGTTTAGGCTGCGATGGGCCGGACTTCACTGCCCTGCCCTGTGCTGCTCCGCATTGCAATCCTCTGGCAATTGTTGATTCTTTTAACACCAAGAGGGAAGAGGAGCCGCTCCCTGGCGCCCCAGAAAGGCATGGCCGCCCCTTCCTGTGTGAGCCGCTGATGGCTACCAGATGGCGAGTGAAGAGAGGGAGAGAGAAAGAGGAGGGGTCCCTTCACTTATATTAGTTCTGCCTTTATGGTCTTCTGTTCACTGTAGGGGTTTTGCAGAATACATTTTTTTTTATGTTTACCTCCATCAGTGCAAAAACATAAAATCTTACCAACTAAAATCTTCCTAGATTTTAGAACTAGGAACTAGAACTAGTTCCTAGCTCTAATATCTTAATACACTTGAAAAAATACAACACTTAACATACAAGTAAGTTTTCAGACAGATATACTTTTGTTACTTTTGAATATCTATAAAAAGTACTAGTTCCACTAGCTGATTTTTTTCACCTGTAGCGTGAAAAAAATCTTGTAGGTGAAATAATCTGCCAGTGGAACTATAGTACTTTTTATATTTTAAAGAATTATTGACAAAAAGTTACTTGTAAATTAGTTTTGTCCTATTTCGAGTGTACTGAGGTCAAGCCTGTCACAATAAGCAATAAATCATTTTATCACATGATCAATTAAAACATGCTAGATAATTTTCACTTGTGTGATTGTTTATCTCATATGATTCTACCAAAGACTTGATAACAAAAAGTCTTCAGTCTGGTGCAGTGGTCTCAGTTAGCATTTTTTTGAAGGGCAATTTTGTTTACAGAGAGTTCTGTGTCTATTTATTTTTTTTCGGTTGTTTTGTTTATTTTCTATATTTAAAATGCCTTCCAGTGTTAAATAAGTTTATTGCTCTCTGGAAGGGCATACTTCATGTTAGTACCATTATTGTACTTGAAAATGGTCTCAAGATTTAGTTTTTGCAATGATCACCTGCTCCACCAGGTAATTTAATTCTCATTATGCAATGTAAGTGGGTTATTTTAAGCCTTTTCTTGTAGGCATCCAAGCTATTTTACCTGAAGTCATTTTACAAGCGGGAAACAAAAAAAGTGTCAGTTATAACTGACTCACGGAAGAGCTGCTTGCTCCTTGAATGTCTCACCTATGTAACGTTTTACTGAAGGCTTTCTCCTCATTCCTCTCAGGCAGAAGAGCTTGTTTGTGGTCATTCAGGAGTTTCAGCAAAGACGTATGGGAGGTGAGAGGGTGGACCAGTTCTTCCAGACTGAAAATCTTTTTACTTCCCAACAGCTCTGTCTGAGCTCTGAACACAGAGACGGCGGTTAAATCCAGTCCAGAATCCAGAATCCACGGTTTTTGATTTTTAAACTCAAGTTGTTTAAAAATAGAAATAGGATAGAATTATTTCAAGTGTAACAAAAACAAAGCTACATAATTAGATTATCTCGAGATATATTTCAGCATGGACTGAAATGAGATTCCTATTGGATTAAAAAGTACAACTTTGCGTTATCATGGTGTTTCCTCATGGTTTTTAATGAGTCCTTAATATGTTATTTTTTTGGTAACAATTAATAAAAAAAGAAATATTTCTGCTGTAAATATTGCAGTTGGCAACTAATTGGGAAAATCACCAATTAGTTGCAATAGGCTGCCGTTGAACATAGAAATATGCGACGGACAGAACTTTAGGTTCCTATTATCTGTAAGTCTAATATTCAAAATGACAAGAAAAAAAGGCTTGAAATATTTAACTCTGTTAGGGGTGTACATTCATTATTGTATCATTTATTGTGCTAAATTTCTTATAAGAATTTGATTTATCCTTGTCATGATAAATTCCAATTAATTTTTAAAATCCCCCAAAACTTGTCAGGATTGTCGATTTCACTATTTTCTCCAGTGTTCAACAAGAGGATCAATAAATATCAATAAAATTGAAGATATGGTTTAATTTCGTTACAGTCTGCAGCTTAGTGATATAAATCACACTATTACAAATGGGAATGTATTTGTGTTTATGGGGCTATAAATGCCATACAGTAACCATACAGTTACTTAAAAAAGAAGCAATTTTGGGTGCTGTGGTGGCGCAGGGGCAAAGCACAACCCACATATTGAGGCCTTAGTCCTCATGCCGGTGGTCGCAGGTTTGATTCCCAGCCTGGTGACATTTGCTGCATGTCTTCCCCCTCTCTCATAACCCTCTTTCCTGTCAAGCTACTTTCAGATAAAGGCCAAAAGAGCCAACAACACCTTTAAAAAAAAGAAGCAATTTTTATTGTTACTTTTATCACAATAGTCCACAAAATATGGTAAGTCCATATTGCCTTTTACTATGTGTAACAAATTGAGTTTCACTTTCTGAAATGAGTGATGAAAAACATTTAACTTTTTCATGATATTAAATTTTTTGCGAGGTACCTTGATCCACATTTAACACGTCACCTCTCATTTTAAACACACACACACACACACACACACACACAGCAGGCATTCTTGTCATGTAGTACTATGTGATCTGACCCTAGCTGCTATGCCCACAGCCCCTTAATATAGCCCACTGCTGTCATGGTACTTTTTGCCCCCCTTCACCTGCTCTGCTCTGAGCGTCAGTACATGTCCATGTTTATCCCAACCTGGCCGGGGGTTTTGGGGGTGTCTATATTGCGACTAGCTGTGAAATATTGTTACCATCTTGTGTTATTTCCCAAGTAATCGTGACGCAGACAGTCTTTCGGTCAAATGAGATTCATTCCCGTCTAACAGCCATTTGTTTCTCCTTTTATTTTTTAAGTCTTTTTGTTTTGAAAGGTCCAATATAAAGATGAAAGAAACAGGCTGATAAAGAGAAGAGGTTCTGGTCATGTTTTGGCCACAGTCCCTTATTGCATTAGAGCTACTATGGCTCAGTGAGATATCTTTGTCCTGGCCATCAGCCAGAGGACATGTACAGACAAACACGCACACACACACTGAGAAAAGCAAAGAGATGCAGCAGAGACCCCTGCTCTCTGAGACGAATCATTTTGGGGACTGACTGGAAGCTGTGAGGACCTCTCTCTTTCTTTTTGCCGGCATTCCAAGGAACTTTCACATGTCCGCCTCTTCCTGTGTTTTGCTCTTTTTCTTGACATGTCCTGGAAAACTGGAATACTTTCCTTAATTTTTCCATAACATTCAACAAATGGGACTTTGAGGAGCCACTTGTGGTAAAACTCAAAGGTGGGTTAGATTTCTTTACTTGACATTGAAACGCTGTTCGGTAAATTTATGAAACACCGCTCTTTCTCTCTATTTTTTTTCTTCTTTTGATCTCAAAGGACTGAACTTAATTAAACAGGTGAAAGTTTATAGCAAAATGGGGTTCCTATACTGTGTTGTGTTTCATATGTTTGAAGTATTAAAGGGAGTTATGAGGCATTTTAATGAGTGGATTAGGTTACAGGTGGCAAGTGAAGCAAGAAGATAACAGGCAATTTTGAAAGATTGTATTCTTTATTATTAAAACTCTGCAAACACACTGGCTGGATAAAAACGTACAAACTATAACATTAATTTTTTAGCAGAGGTCAAGGTTGTGATATTATTTATTTTGGTTTTATTTTGCTAAAACGATCAGTCAGCTTGACAGCTTGGAGGTTTTTTGAAACTATTAGACATCCTAAACTAAGACATCCTCTTCCTTTTTTCTGTCAACATAACTGAAAGCTGATGAATGATTGTATTATTATATTTTATTTTTCTAACTTGGTAACAGATTGTTCCTAAGCACAAAGGTTAACCCCGTAGTAAAATGTCCTAAAACTGAACAAGCATAAATGTAACTCCATCATGTCGATGCTGAAACTAATTTGACCAACGTGTCTCATATTCAACTTTGACCTTTTCCACACTAAACTAAAGGCCAATAAATAACCCAAAAGAACAGAAAAACATTTGTTCTCTTCTTATAGCTTGTTTTTGAGGTATATTCAGTGTTTTTGTCTGAGAAATGGGAAGGATGTGTATGCAGTGTGAAAAGCCTGAGGACTACCAAGGAAGTTGAATTCTTGAAGTCTGAAATGCCCTGTTCATGTTGTAGCAGCTCTTGGAGAGAGAACAAACTTCTCTGTTCTCAGTATATTTTGGAGTACAAGTGGTTTGTAGGTTGTCAGACAGTAAAGACGACTGATGGAGTAACTGGGGATTTCTTGTGATGGTTTTAGTTGTATCTTTAAATAAGGGTTCACAAAATATCACATATATTGCAATATCGGTGTGATCACTATTCATATCGTAAAAAACTGGAGTGCAATAATTGTCGGCTACTATATTCCAATATATATTTATCCTTTTGGACCAGATGCTCCCAGGGAACACAAGTTGCATCATCCAAAATGCTAAAGGTCACAGAGTGATGGAACCAGAATGAAAAAGGGGAAAGAAAAAATAGCCATACTGTGCAATTGACATCGTCATAATATTTACAACCAATCCATGATGGCATATTTACAGATTTCTTTGTGGAATATAACTCTAATATTTGCAGAAAATTCCCCTATCCACAGGTTTCTCTGTATAACATATTGATATGCAGCCTGGGAAGCTAAAATACCTTGATGCAAACCTTTTTGATTGTCTGTTGGTTGAGGTTTGCAAAGCAGCCAATCCAGGAGCAACATTAATTTTCCTTGGCACTGATTGGCTGTCCCTCCAATTGCGGAGATAAGACTTGGGATGTTACCTTCTGCGGTAGTGCCAAGATGTTTCCCACTAACGTATTTATGCATATTAGAATGTATCCCTTGAAGTATATATGGTGCAGAAGGAGCATGTCAGAAGGATTTCCTCCTTCTGAACCTCTGAAGTGCTTATAGTATCAGGAGACGCCCTCGTTCAGAAAGTCTTGCTGACCTCTCTTTTCAATTGCAAAAATATTCCCTGATTAAAAAACTTTGCCTGACGCATTGCTTGTAATTCCAGTGTCCAGTATGAAAGCAAAGCACAGATTTGTTCTCTAGATCAACATCAAAACCCTGAGATATTTGATTACACACAAGCAGATGCGCAATTGAGGTCCATGCAGACCAGGAGACAGTTGTGAGTTTGTGCGATCAGGCCACAGTAGGTGAGTTGTTCATAATTCAAGTGCAAGTGTTTAATTGTATTGCTGTATGTAATTACTGGGGCCATAGCGTTTTGTTTTTGTCACTGTGGCGAAAAAGTTACTTGTATTCATCTGCTTGATGTGTTACGGCTTAATGTGGTCTCTGTGCAGCTTGTTGAATACTAATTAAACTGGATGAAAATTAAGCCCAATTGAATATGTCATAATTTTAATAACTGACGGCTATAAGTAGATTATGACGGGATTTTGGAAGTGTTTGGAGTTCAGACCATTACTGTGCATGGGTTTTTGTTCCCTAGTCTGCCAGTATGACTGGTGATTTTAATTTATTTCCTCAAGGGAAAATTATTTAACTTCTTTGTCCTTTATGCTTCAGGTTATGCATAGCTCCTTTTTTATTGCCTCTTATGTAAACTTTGCCTTCTGTGTAAATGACTTGAAGGAAGATTGTGCGAGTTCGTCTTGTCAGCAGTGAAGGAGCCTTGTGATCATGTGAACCTAGTCTGCCATGCCAGAGGAATGTGTTGCATTTTAAGGATGCAGCTTTGGCAAGTGCATGTGACAAAAGGGAAAGAAAAAAGGTTCTGTACGAAAATGTCAAGGTTGTGGAGGAGCAAAGCGTGACCTGCTGGATACATAGATGGAAATGCAATAGGAGAAACTGTGGGAATGTAATAAACTTTGTTTCAGGGAGGATCATGTCTTGAAGTCAGCTGAGCTTCTTTTATCTGTAGCACAGCTTTAGTTCCCATGGCTCTGTGTAGGCTGCCATCTGTACATGCAAACCGTCCTCAGAGTGTGCTGATTGAATAGAGCACTTTATGAAAAAGCCTAATTGAGAACATTTAGTCTGGGAATGATTTTCAGCTTCAGTTCCCATCGGTTATAGTCAGGGAGGAATCATAATGTTTTTCTAACGCATTAGCCAGAGAGACGCTCCGTTTTCATCTTTTGTCAAAGAAACAATCAAACCAGAAGATATCCTGATTAATAGTTTGTATTTGATTAGATTTTCAGTAAAATCAAGATGAAAGACAGAAAATATGAAAACATGCATATGAAAGATTTATTCTGCATGTTTAAGTTTACCAAAACACCTGAGAGGAAACTGTCTTCATCTACCAATAAATACATTTTCTTTTCTATATAGTTTTAAAAAAGAGATCATAAGATGGAGCAACAAATGTCACCTCGTTAGTCTTATAAATGCAGTGTGTTCAGGCTCTATATGGTTGTATTATATTTTATGATTTAAAATGTTTTTACATGGCATGAATATGTTCTCTTTAAGATGCAGCTTATGGTTTAGAGATTTTGGTTCTGGTTGTGGAAATGCAAAAATATCCATTTTCAGTTCTTTTATTTGGCGTAAGGAGCACCATGTTTTGATAAAATGATCAAAGCTGCTGGATTTATTAATGAAGGCAGACTTTGAATATTCCAAACTAAACACGTGTAATTAAATTAAAGTCTCTTGATTTTCTCAAAAATCTTTAAATCTTGTAGCAAGGTGTAATGGACCTTGCTGCAGTAGACCTATAAAAAGATTGAGTAGAACTGGGAAAGAAAAACACATTTTATTGTTTTGGATGTTTATATGTAGACTTAAACGGGAGTAAATTAATATTTATTTTAAGACATGGGTCCATCAGAATCCACAGGTGTGGAGGCACACACCCACAGAAGCCAGTTGAGAAGTAAGGACGTGACGCTGTAGGGACAATGTGAAGTAATAGTTTAGCTGCAGAAACAATTCAGCATTCCTTTCTGCTTGTGATGTGTTTGAGAAATTCCTCAAGTTCCTCAGTGGCTGTGAATCAGCATACGGTCAAACACAGGAGCGCATATGCAGGGCATGTCTTCCAAGGTATGTGTTGATGCTACACACACTCACTCTCAGCTGAAAGTAAAGCAGTATCATCTGAATGCGACACCAGAGAGTGGAGGTGTGCGCCAGTTTCATGGGATGGTTTTAAATGGAGGTGTGCCGTTTAATTTGGCCGGGAGACAAGCCCAGGCATGCTGGCAGCTCTGCTCTTAAGACACAACACCTAGCATGGGACATGCAGCAGCTTTGTTGAAGAATCATTTACAGAGGAGAACAACTGCAGGGCTCTGCAAAAGTAATCACACTTCTGGAATCTCTGATCATTTTAAAGCCCCAGAAGTTTTTTTTAATAGAAATTTGAAATGACATAACAACTTAGCATTACTTTGAAAGTAGAATGAAAAATTCTGCAGGTATTCTGGAATATGCTCCCATTGGCTTTGCACATTTACAGACTGAAACTTCTTATAGCTTAAGTTCAGTCAGACTAGATGACGAGCATCTACGAACAGCAGTTTGCTTCTCATTCAGATTTAGGCTGGGACTTTGACTAGGTCATTCAGACATTATGCTTTGATTTAAGCCATTCTATTAACATTTTTAATCGACTTAATTAACTAACTGCATTTTAACTGAAAACCATATATTGATAAAATTAACATTTTTGATTCCAAAACGTTTTTAGAGTTGACATTTTTTTGAATACATACACATACAAGCTCAACAACAAATATATCTAAAGGCAGTATTATGTATTTTACAGGCACATAGTATGATATCACAATCAAGACTTGTTACAAAAACGCTATGTATATCAAATATTTTTACCAGCATTTCACTGAGAAGTAGCTCGTATAATGAGCTCAGAAGACGCGTAGTTCCACCAGATGTTTGCTAATTGCTTCTAGCTAGTCTGAAGGAGCTGAGTTAGGGAGGGTTGCTCGGTGAGGCGGAAGCTCAGAAACTACATCTCTGAGGAGGAGCTGTGCAAAGATTAAATCCCAGTGGGCCAAGACAGCAGCTTTGTTGTCCTTCACTGTTTGTGGATGTTGTTTGTGCATCAGATTTACGGGGGTACCAGAAACATGTGAATACAAAGGTTCCGGGTTGGGACTTTTGCATATTGGACAACAAAAAAGTGGCTAAGTCAGTGAAAATGTTTAGCACATCAAAATATTCATAATTTAAATGAATGCAGAAAAATTCCAGCCTTCCTTTTTGAATATTGTCAATCCACATCATGTTGCAAGGACCCTGAAAGCTTCTGAAGGCTGATGTTTTGCTGAGCAGCCAGGCACCACTTTTTTATTGCTGCACAGACATGTTATCAGAGTCCATTTCCTTATTATATGCTCAGTATCTCAAGCCATTTCCTCATGGACTGACTCTTGCAAGAGAGCTGCTAATCAGATCATGTCCAAAGCAACCTCTCACTGGCCACTTAATGTGATTTTGAATAATTTTCATTGGAGTGATTGGATTAGACTGCTGTTGCTCACTTCATGGACCATGATGGGGTTTGATGCACCTACAGTAAAGCACAGGACGGCACAACGCTGCAAGAAAAACACTCTTTCTGTGGGTTGATCAGAGAGAAGAGAATATTAACATACTGTGTAACAAGTAAGCAAAGCATTCACACATTAACACACATGCACCCACACTCTCCCACAGATGGTTTTTACGCCTGACTGTAGAGTCATCCTTCTCACTATGCAGTGATCCACGCCTGCAGAAAGCAGAGAGGACCACTTTGGATCTGCAGCTTGTGAACTGGAACAAAAGCATATGCATTCATTACTGAATGCTTGTACTATTTGTTTTTATTATTATTTATGAACTATTTTAGATTAATTTAAACGTGTGCATTTCACTGCAGGCTCTAGCAAATTAAATTTAGAAGTCTAGAATATGTGATGCTTTGTAAAATGTGCTTCATTTGTTCTGCGTGGTGGTTAAGGTGTCATCTCGTAACAAAGTGGTAAAGCTCAGGATGCAGGGCAGTAAACAGACCCTTCTAAAATAATTTCTTGCGCAACATTTTGTTTTCCTGCACACTCACTACAGAAATCAGACTTTAAATCGGGCTGATTGTAGTTTGGTTCGACAACAGAAATCAAAACATTCTTGTTGCATGAACCTCTTTATATTTGCAGTTCAATATTGGCAGATGTTTTTCTTCTGAGGAACATTACTCAGAAATATTTGTGGAAAATTTGCCTGTTTGCAGACTTCTTTCATAGAGGTTATCTAAAGTATCTGAAAGAAATGCAGCTTGGGAAGTTGAAGTACCTTGAAGCAGTGCTGTTTGACATGCCAATGGCTGGTGCTTGCAAAGGAGCCAATTGAGGAGCTCCATTAATTTCCTCGTTGCTGACTGGTTGTTCTCCCAACTGTGGAGATGAGCAATACTAGATATTTACTTATGTAGTAGTGCCAAGACCTATTAATGCATATTAAGGTATATTTGGTGTCTCATCTAGTAAAATAGGCAGTTGTATAAAGAAAATAATGCAACAGGTTGCAATGTCAGAAAAAAGTGCTGTAATTTGTAGAATTTCTTGTTCATTTTTCCTATTGATAATGACAGTATAATAATGATTTCTAATGGGTCCTTTAGGTTCTGTAGGAAAGAAGAGTGTCGGAGGTGAAAAGGTCAAATTTCAAGGTTTTGTTCACTCTACAGTACAAAAGCAATTGCCTCAAAAAACAAGACAAATTGACACTTATGTTTAACTTTAATTGCGAAGTATTTAAGGCTGTTAAGTAAAGTGAATAAAGTCATACCGCTGGCAGATTTGGCTTATCAGCTTTTTGCCTGTTTAATGATCGATCTTTGGTGATGAGCTCCAGTTTTTGAAAGGCCTCATTTCAATCACCCTAATCTTTAGCTTCCTTCACAAATTCTCTATCAGAAGTCGCCAAAACATTATCAATGCTTCTAGTCAAAAGAAACGCATCTGTAAAGTCAAACACATTGTTTTTAAGTTAACCTAATTTCCAAAAATTTATCTAGCTCTTAAACTTACAAAATTATGTAAATTTAACACAAAATGTCAGTTTTAAGATGTGCATTTTATGGTCTTTAAAAATTGTCCTGAAAATTGCAGAAACACTGAAACAAGCTGTGAACTGACAGTGGGACAGAACCCGCTTTGGCATGCGGATCCGCCTGTTGAGCAGCGGGAGATATTTTTGGTTCTTCTCACCTATCTTAAGCCGGCCTCTCCAAGGTGTTCTGTATTGCAGAGGGCCGTGTGCTTCAGGGGGCTGTGGTGGGCATTTGTTGCCAGGGGAGGTGATGTGTTATTTTCAGTCCATTGTGTCTACTTCCTGTGGGTCATGGGTTATTGGAGCTGGGTGTTGCAGACTTTGGAGAACAGGAGGAGGAGGGGGAGAGTCAGTGGAGTAGGCAGGAAAGTGGTCAGAGCAACTGGACAACAGTGACTGGTCAGCAACTTGGTTTCTTTGCTTGTTTTTCTGCTCTGCTTTTAGCCGAGCTACGCGTGGACTCTTCAGAATCAGGTAAAAGAATATCATGTATAAGCTGGTTATTAGTTTATTTTTTAAATTGTGATTTTTACCTAATTTTGTGACTATCGTCAGTGGAGCAGCTCCTTTCGAGGAGAGATATAGCATTTTAAAAATAAGTTTTAAATTTTCTACAAACAGCTTTGTTGGGATGCCACTACGGAATGGTGATGTTATTTCTCTCTGTTTTGACAAGAAAAGGCGCTTTGATCATTGCATTTGTAGAAAAAGCTCTACAAGAGATTTGGTTACTGTAGTTTAGAATTGATACATGTTTTGTTTACCAAGATCAAGATATGACAGCTACCTTTAGTATAAATGACGGGTTTGGACTTGTGCAGCATAACGACAACAAACCAACAGATTAAAGTTTTTGACCACATGCACAGTTTTATGTTGTCTGATTCGAGATCTTAACCCAATTCCCGCTTTTTTGCACAGCGTACTGTCAGCGGTCCTGATCCAGGACAGATCCAGGTAACTGTTGAATGTTAGCAGAGCTTCTAAAGTTAGAACCCGACAAACCCCCCCAACACGACGACGGTGACAAAAGGAGGCAAAACAGGAAACCTTTTTGCACAGAATGCGTGTCGGGAACAGATGACCAGGAAGATAAAAAGCGCTAACAAAGTGGAAACTTCCACTCAGGGATGTTATTTTGCTTTGCGTGTGTTTTTCTCTTCTTTTTTGTGTGTTTATAATTAAGCACCAAGTTGGTTGAAACCTCTGGTTGAGGGATTGTTGGTTTGGTTACGGTTTAAAAGGCAAAGGAACGCGGTGAACCAGTCCGGTTTCAGATGTTATAGGTGCTTCTGTGCTCCTTCAGTCATACACGATGGGATGTTAATATTTAAACCTGCTCCATTGAAGTTAATGCTTCACCGGGAATCTGTGTAGTGAGGCTGGTTTAACCCACCGCGGTGCTACTGATTGGCTCGTCTCTTCTTTGTGCACTCATCTGTTACTCCTTCCCCACATATTTCCTCTTAATATCCATCTCTGCGTCAGACTGGCTGTCTGAAGCTTATCAGCGATACAGAATGATGACGGTTTCTGTTCTCACACCACAAGGAAGAGTTGGTGCCTCGTTTATGTCTACAGCTTTCACACAACAACACTGTTGTCTTGAGCTTTGCTGACTAAAGAGAGACCGCAGGACCTCAGCAGGAAATATCTGAATAATCTGATGGTTTCTACAGAAGTATCTGGTAAACAGCAATATTTGATTTATTGACTTTTGCTAATTTAATTTAAAAAAAAATTTCGGCAATATTGTTTGTGCTTGCTTGTGTTATGACAGATCCTAGCCACCTTGTGAGTTGGTCTAGAATTTACATTGTGATCTTAATGGGAAATACTTTGGATAATCAGACCTGTCTAATTATAGGTCACCTGTGAAAGCCTAGAGTTTATCACCTGCTAATCCTTCACATAATGAGCAGAAGAAAGATGACTGCATGACTCATGGAGGTTGTATTTTTGTAGGACCGGGCTTCAGAGTAAACTTAGGCTGGTGAGAATTTTACAGCTGCACATGAAAGCTGAGTAACTGTGAGATGTAAACAGAGAAACGGAAGAAAAGATTGTAAAGGGAAAAGACTAGAAACTGGCTTGGGTTCATGCACTTTGGTAATACTTTATTTGACGGGGTGTGCATAAGACTGACATAACTCCTGTCATAAACATGAAGAAGTCTTTATGAATGTCTATGACTGTTGTCATGAAGTGTCAGTCAGTAAATAATGACACATTTAATGCAAAGTTGCTTTAAAAGTCACATTAAAAGTCCCAACCTTGCATGATTTTGCAAACAATGTAATTTTAGTGCAAAGTGTCATGTCAGTTAGTGTTACAGTGTTACAGTTTTTGTCACAGTTTGGTCTTTCAAATCAAACAGATTTTAATACCTCTTAAGCCTGATTTTAATACCTCTTATGAATACATAATGTTAAATTTTCAAAAGAAAAGAGAAACTACCCAGCCTGTTCTTACTAGGCCTGATTACTGCCAATCTTTTCGAATCAAGAAAAAGGTTGAATAGAACCTGTCTGGCAACATGAGATGGGTTCACTGGTGACATAAGGTAAATTACTTGTTTTTTTACAGTCATGTAGGTTTGGATAGTTTTTCCTCCTTAACAAATGAAATAATCTTTCTCTTTGTTTGATTTGAGACACTTAAGTGAAACACAGAAGCAGAAGGAATCTCTAAGCGGTGAATACATTTACACAGCACTGCAGATCGGCTGTATGTCATGAACAGATATAGTATGAACTTAGTAAATGGTGACTTTTCTAACTATATCAGGTGTTTTCTATGCGAGTGTATCTGTTTAAAGTTTGT